TGAATTTGGTCATACTACTCGGCTCGCCTAATGTTGTTAGCTTACTATATAGTGTGAAAGTATGCGGTTTAGGATGCAGCCATTGTGTTCAAAGCGGATTAAAGTTCTCGTTTTTTACCCAGACGTTTAAAAAGAATATATTTTATAGCGTAATAATTTTATAATTACAATACCGTTATTTTTTTCCAAGGCTGTTGGAAACTTATACCGTCCCATGCTCAGGTTAGGATTATTTTGTCTTTAACTGTATATACAAGAGGTGTCCAAACTCGATCCTGGAGGGCCGGTGTCCTGTAGATTTTAGCTCCAACTTGCCTCAACACACCTGCAAGGATGTTTCTAGAAAGCCTAGTAAGAGCTTGATTAGCCAGCCCAGGTGTGTCTGATTGGGATTGGAACTAAACTAGGCAGGACACCGACCCTCCAGGACTGAGATGGGGCACCCTGGTATATACTAATATATGGCAGTCAAATAGTCAGTTCTGGACAAACTATGGTTCAAGACAACAGTGTTGATCAGATAAATGACCAGGCAATTGTTAAAGCTCTGTAAAAGCAGGTGGATCATCTTGGGTAGCTAGTGGGGGACTTGTACCAGCTTAGGTTTAGCTTAGGTATGTCCTGTCACCAGTTGTATAAATCACTATGTTAAGAACAAGACATTATAAAAAAAAAATGTTGGGTTGATATAACTCAATGCTGAGTAAAATATGGACAAATCCAATCACTGGGTTACAAAGTTTCATTAAAATTTAATTGAAAATATGAACCCAATGCTTCGGTTTCTGCCACAGTCTGAAGACATGCGCTATAAGTGAATTGAATAAGCTAAAGGGCATCCGCTGTGTAAAACACATGCTGGATAAGTTGGCGGTTCATTCTGCTGTGGCGCACCAGATTAATAAAGGGACTAAGCCAAAAAGAAAATGAATGAATGAAAGAAATGAACCCGACATGGGGTTTGTCCATATCTGAACCCACGTTGGGTTACAGCGGCCCATCATTTCTTTAGAGTTTAACTAGTTACTATTCATGAACAGTAAGATAATGATTACCTATAACAGGGCTCACAGGGAATCAGCGCACACAGAAATCCGCAGATTGTTAGCCCATCATTGAGTCTATTTATTTGCTTGTGTAAATGTGTGTACATTTATATTTATTCAGGTTTTAATTGATTTCAGTAATGTTATTGACTAATATAAAAATGTTCATTTGATTTATTTACAATTCGAGTCATATTTTCTGTCTTTTAGTAGATCTATTATATGACAGACTTTACATAATAAGTGGATCTAGATGGATTTGCATTGTAGACATTAAATAAGTTTAAAAGCTCTTATTTTGTATTTCAGTTTAGTTTCCTTTAGTTTTTAGTTTCGATACCTCCAAAATAATTCTGCATGAATCCCCAGATATTTTCCAAAATTCAGAAATAGCAAAAAAAAATGTCTGCAGATTCTACCTCTAACTAACCGCTAGTTAAACTGTACCAGCTTAGGTTGATGTGTGTGACCAGATGCATGTTAAGAACGAGACATTCTAACAATTGTTGGGTTGATATAACCCAATGCTGGGTTAAATGTGGATAAAACCAACCATTGGGTTAAAAAGTGTAATTGCAATTTAATTGAAAAAATGAACCCAACATCAGGTTTCATTCAGGATTCATAAACTAATTTCGAGAGGATCACGTGCTTATGATTTATCACGGCTGGTCCCGTATTTTGCTAATCACTATCTTCCAATCATATGAGCCCTAAGCTACTATAAAGAACCGCAGTTTTCAGTTCACTTTATCTTCGTTTGGAAGAAACCCCCCTCCTCCCCTATTCTCCTCCTTTACTTCTGATTGGGCGGCACGGCGGCCCAGTGATTAGCACTGTGAGCCCCACAGCAAGAACACTGCCGGCCCTGGTCCCATACGGCCGGTGAGTGTTTCTGTGAGGAGTTTGTATGTTCTCCCCGTGTCCGCGTGGGTTTTCCCCAGGTTTTCCGGTTTCCTCCCACCATTCAAAGACATTCAACACGTATAACAATCAAGCATTTGTCTTACCCCTCTGTTCCATAGGCTTCCGCCGTCAGGGAGTTCTGAGATCCACCGAGCTCAGGCTCCCCTCTCGCTCTGCCTACGGGAGGAAGCCCCGGGCTCGAGGATCCCTTGAGCTCGGGGCTCTCTCCCGGGACAGCATGCCAAACAAGCTTTTATAAATCATCAGCTAAGTGTGAACTCTTGAACTAGAGGTTAGTTAGGGGTCATTAATATGTCGGTCTTCCTGAAATGTAAGATGATAACTAACATCTAGTTAATCTGTACCAGCTTAGGTTGATGTGTCCTGTGACCAGTTGCATGTTAAAGAACAAGACAATCTAAAAAAAACGTTGGGTTGATATAAGTCAATGCTGGGTAAACTGTGGACGAAACAAACCATTGGGTTAAAAATGGCCATTTAAATATATCTGAATTAAATGAACCCAACATCAAGTTTGTCCATATCTGAACTAGAGCTGCACGATACATCGTTTCAGCATCGAAATCACGATGTGCGCATCCGCAATAGTCACATCACAGGAGGATTATTATATATATAACTGCTCTATTATTTTATTTATTATAAAGTTAATTGTTGGTAATTATTAGAACCAGTTTATCTTATCCACAATTTATTTGTTTTATAACATGCTTATTTTTAAACCATTCAGGGGGTTAGTGTTTAGCTGCTTTTATATTTTTACAATTTTGTGACAAGATATTTCCTTCTGTTTTGTAATTGTTGTAATAAAAAAAGTTTGTAATTGTTGGATAAAAAGTTAAATGACTTATTTTGTCACTCGTGTTAAATTCCTAAATGTGATAATAAAGTGTCATCTTTGCATTCCCCAAATGAGCTCACCTTTATCACAGTAAAAACAACATTTAATATTAAAATCATAACACATTAGATCCTCCATTGATCTGAATTGACAGTTAAGTCATATTTTTCATGAACAACCCAAAAGAAACTATAAAAATGTTTGTTCCGTGTTTTTACTTATTAATTTTTTATATTCTATGAAAATGCTTAAAATGACCCGAATTATTATAGAATTATTGATTATTTAATTTTTGAGCAAGTCAAAACTCCCGATTCTGAATTTCTAAATATCGCAATATATATCGCAGGGGAAAAAAAATATCGCAATGTTCATTTTTTCCAATATCTAGCAGGTCCTAATCTGAACAACCCGGGCTCATTGTGGAAATGTAGCCCCGCGGACGTTTATGTGGACCGCCATTTACGTCCCGGGAGGTACGTATTCGAGCGGTTTTTGTTTTCGCGGATCCGCGAGAGGCCGCTGCGCACGCTTTTTCGCGTCTCGGGCGCCTCTCTGGAGCGTGCGCCGTTCACACCCGCGCCGTTCTCGCGCGAAAAGCCGCCGGATCAGCCGAGCGACGGTTCGAAAAAAAAAAAAGCAAAAGCCGTCGTCTTTGATTTCGACCGCGTTTTCGGATCCCGTCGCGTTCTCGCCCTTATTTTTCGGACTCGATCCCGGTCGTCGTCCCCGCGGCCGGCTCCTCCTCCGGGGCCTCCGCTACGCCGACGCAACGCTGTGAGCTAAGCAGACAAACTGGTTGCATCGGGAAAGCCCTCCACTCGGAGGCGAGCCGTCGGCCGGTGAGCGCGAAGAGGAGGGGCGTTCGCTCGAAAAAAACTAAACGCGGCCTTACGTACCTCCGGCCACGTAAATCGCGGTCTCCAGAAACGTCCACGGGGCTACGTTTCCAGAATGAGCTTGGGTTGAATCTGAACCAACGTTGGGTTAAAACGGTCCATCATTTCTTTAGGCTTTAACTAGAGATTAGTTATGGGTAATTAATATCTTAATATACAGATTCAGATCAGAACAATCTCTCTTTTCTGACTTATACATGTTGGGACCAGTCTTGATTAAAACTATTTGGTAACTAAATTATAATACTAGTTTATGCAACCGGCAGCAGGTTTACCATAAACATACAGTAGTGTTGCTTTCTTGTTCATTGGTAAAACGTAGGTAGTCTATTTGACGCATGGATGCTGGAGGTCATAACAAGACAATATAATACAGCAGACATCTAAAAGAGTCAAGCTGCTAAATCATTCCTTGTGCCTTTCTAAAAAAAAAAACAGCACCACAGAAGTCACCTTGTAAAATGTGAGATAGAACCCCACATGATGGTGCATGATGGTGCTGAACGCTCAATGCAGGGAAGCGCTGACGGTGTCCGGAGAGAGAAAGCCTTACAGCTCAGCTTATTAACAAGACGAGATGTGACCATTTGTCTTCATTATCATGTCACACTCGGGGTGTCAGCACAAGTCACTCCAGCAGAGCCGAGCAACAGCCTGCTCCTAAACACACTCCTCTAACACTCTAACACATCGCTCGCAGAAGCAAGATGATCCCGTCCTCCAGGCTGACGGATGTATCAATCTACTGCACTATAGTGCTGTCGTAGGAACCGCATCTATACTGAAGGACTGGATTCTCATCGATAAAATATATCTCAGAGGATGTTTAAGATTCACAACATGGTTACACTGGAAATATGTTCAAGTATATCAAACACACATCCTCGTTTCAAACGTCAACGCATCTAACAGGAGATCAAATGCTGCATTCGCTGGAGAGCACAGACACTCCGCTGTCAGACCCTAACAAATCATCAAGACACAAAGAAGACGCCAATCAGAGCGTTTTTTTCCTGTCGAAGCACTGAATTAATTGTCAAATTGCAATGCATTTTCTAATTCAGATCAGAAAGCATGCACGGCATCTTCTACCTAGCAACACTATCATCGAACAAAGTAGCAAATTTAGTTTGACCCCTGCGCTGTTGCCTGGGAGACACATCCTAGCCGAGCAGCATCAGCAGCAGGTTTGAGGAGGGAACAACCTGTCTCGCAACCACACATGGCAATGATTAGCATGTGAAAGAGTGTCACTGATGGTGTTTAGTGCGTGTGACACACACTTACCCTCCGTCGGCGAGGTTTTCAGCCGCTGGCACAGTCCCTCAGTACCTCCATAGTCCTCCTGTATTTTGACCACTGCCTCCGTTCCTCGGAGCTCCATGAGCGAGCGCAGCTCCATGAGCGAGCAGCCAAATCCCCCTTCATGGTTGCTGTCGTTTCTTTGGTTCTTGGTGTAAAAATCGCTATTGGTCATGTCCCCCATGGTGGCGGAGTATTGCTCGGTAGCTTTTCTTAAAGACGGATGAAAAAAACGCAGAAATTAGGAGTCCCTGGTGCGACCGGAGAACAGGTGTCTCAAACGAAAACCCGCAACGCAGGACAGAGCGGAAGGTGAGAGAGGAGGGTGAAGAAAAAGGCAGATCGAGTCCGCTGTCTGCGATTCAAGCTCCGGTATGTTATGCAAGACGGCAAGATCCCGGTCCTGAGGACGTCCGCGCTCACCACGGCTGCAGACCGGCGTCGCTCCATACGTGGTTTCCCATTCTACCTGCTTCCCGTCGGCTGCTGTCTACATGGTGATCCGCTCCATTACTCCTTCAGAGACAGAGAGAGACACAGAGAGGAGAACAGGAGGGGAGGGAGGGTGAGCGAGGGAGAGAGAGAGAGAGAGATGAGTGTTTCTCAGAGGTGCGAGCAGCACAGAAGTGAGCGAGGCACTAGGAAAGCACGGCACGCGGCATTGTGTCGTCAACGCATCTGCATCTCACACACACAGAGGCGGGGGGTGTCCATCTATCTATTCCTGTGATTCTCCTCGTCATGCATTGCTGCGACGTGCTGCGCTTTGATCTGACTAAATGCAGAGCCGTGTACATACTGAAGGGACGAGTGAGTGTTTACAGCACGCGTCTGATCTCAACGCTGCGCATCAAAGGGCTCGCTGCCGCTCTCCAGAAATGCGGGCGATGCATCCCACACTGCAGCAAGCTTTGCTGGAGGGCAGCAAGCGAGGCTACAGGATTATATAATGCATCCATGTTAATGCATCGAGCACCAGCTAACTAACTAGGGGGCGATTCTCAAGTGATAAAGTACCACTGAAAAATCCTACCAGCGATGTTTATTAATGCGCTGTAAACGAGTTTCAGTAGCATCTCTGGGATTTACGACATACATTTATTTTTCAGTACAGAAACAGTAGCTCGGTGCTTTCAAAATGGTGTCGCTTTTCCAGCAAGCTACTGTTTCCAATTAAAAATGGTGTAGCGTGACCGGAAGAAAGAATACAGTGCTGCCAGGGTTCAACGCTAAGGATTTTCTCTACTGGGCCGATCCAGGCCAGTGGTTGATTTTTACTTGCCCTGCAGTGGCGGAGCTAGAATTTCTTACATGGGGTGGCCTGGGGGTGGCCACTGCTATTTTAGGGGGTCCACACACACACACACACACACACGAAAGTGTTTAGAAAACTACAATCTATTTCATTAGCAACAAATATATGAAAACATAATTATTTACTCATCATCTACCCTGCTGAAAAATCCAGCTTAAACCAGCTTAGGCTGGTTGGCTGGTTTTAGCTGGTCGACCAGGCTGGTTTTAGAGGATTTTTGGCCACTTCCAGGCTGGTTTCCAGACATTTCCAGCCTGATCCTAGCTGGTCAGGCTGGAAAATGACCAGCCAAATCCAGCTAAAACCAGCTTGACCAGCCTGGTTTAAGCTGGATATAGCTGGTTTTGGCTGGACTCCCAGCTTGGCTAGGCTGGTCGAGCTGGTTTTAGCTGGTCATCTCCCAGCCTGACCATCTAAGACAAAGGAATTGCTCACAAACGAATCGCTCCCTCCGTCAGTATGAGAAGTGAAAGCAGGAGAGGAGCTGTGTTTCAGGACATGATTAGATCAAATTTAACAGGGAGGGTGAATAGTACATTTCTGTACACACAAACACAAGCTTTTAGTCAGGAATGCCCGTGCGGTCACTGATCCATCAATGTAGAAAAGTGATGTAAAATTATAATTTTCATAATTAGAAAATGAAAATTACATACTAACATCCAGGAAAACTCCCGATCATAGATATATGTGTGTATATGTGTACATCTCTGGCTTTGGATGGCCACAGTCTTCCACTGTACCTTGGTCCCGCATTCATTTCAAAGGAGCGCTACCCTGTAGCAAGATGGCGGCGCTATTGACGCATTCCGTCCAATAGACAACAATAGGCCAGGCGACATCTAATGTATATATCTATGGTCGTGTGCAGTGGAAAGGCGGCTTAAGCTCTTTGTCTGCACTTGAAACGCGAAACGCAGCGCTCAGGAATGGTTTAAAACAGTTGTCATGTCATCTTGCTGCAGTAAACAAAGCCAATTCCGTAATGCTTGCCCCGCCTTCGCGCTCTTCTTATTGGCCCACCACTGCTCTAGCACTGAAATATCAGCTGTCAATCACTCAGTCAATGACTTCTGGCTTGGGATGACAGAGAGAGCTACTACCGCGAAAAACTGCAAAGCGCTGAAGATGAGTGATTTCGTTGAGACATATTTTCCTCACGCTTGCATATATCTATTTTTTGCTTGCTAGTTTGATTATTGTTGATTTCAAATGCAATAAATATGTTTTTATAAAACGTGTAATAACGGTGCTTATAAGTCCGAACAATTTTTTGCTGATGCGCCTACATTTTTTAAGTTAGGAGCACCGGTGCTACCAAGCAAAAAGGTTAATTTCGAGCCCTGTGACAACTCTTTTTTTCAGTTTCTTAATTTTGTACCCATGTAATTGTCTGCTTCCAAGACTTCCCTGCTGAAAAATCCAGCTTAAACCAGCCTAGGCTGGTTGGCTGGTTTTAGCTGGTCAACCAGGCTGGTTTTAGAGGGGTTTTGGCCACTTCCAGGCTGGTTTCCAGCCATTTCCAGCCTGGTCTTAGCTGGTTAGGCTGGGAGATGACCAGCTAAAACCAGCTTGACCAGCCTAGCAGGCTGGGAGCCCAGCCTAAACCAGCTATGTCCAGCTTAAACCAGGCTGGTCAAGCTGGTTTTTGCTGGATTTAGCTACTCATTTTCCAGCCTGACCAGCTAAGACCAGGCTGGAAATGGCTGGAAACCAGCCTGGAAGTGGCCAAAACCCCTCTAAAACCAGCCTTGTCGACCAGCTAAAACCAGCCAACCAGCCTAGGCTGGTTTAAGCTGGATTTTTTAGCAAGGAGAAACAGACGTTTTCTTTTAGCCTCATAGTTTGATGTTGCCGCCATGTTGCCATATTTATTATTACACATATGGTTGTTATTAGATTACGAAAACTATAACGTGCTCATCGTTACTGGCCAAAAGGGGTCAGTAACAATATTGTCTACTGTCCAGAGTGTCTTTCACGCTGGCCCCGGACCACCAGGCAGTCCTTACTGTTGAGCCCTGGTTGGCCCAATGGAGTTTATTTAAAATAGGTTTCTAATGTAGTTTAGACAGCAAATATGGTAATTTCAACAGGTTTTAGTTAACAGAGGATAAAGAAGATTTAGAAAAATCATGTTTATTATCAACAGGATTGTGTATATGATCATAAAAAATGTGTCATGTAATGTGGGATGAAAAACAAAAGCTAATGTTGAAATCAGCTTTGTATTATTTAAGTAAAAAAGGTTAGCCAATCAACCTTAATACAATCATTTATAAAGATAAAGCTATACATTGCAGGGCTGCTCAACAGATGACACCAGTTTGTTTGCTGATTTATTTATTAATGTAAGTATTTATTTATTCATGTATGCGCGCATGTATGTTAAACAGACCCTCTCTTAGCCTTCAAAACCAAAGTATCTAAAAATTCTTACATCAAGAAGCATTTTAAAGAGAATTATAAAATATTGTTCTGTTTTTAGAAATAGTGAGTCAAAATTAAGCGAGTTTTTCATTTTCAAAACAATCTAATATACCAAATGTGTAAGCACAATATTCCTATTTCAAACCAAAAATAAAATGATCTCCACTGGCAGATTAAAACCTCACTTAATTCTGACTTATTATTTCTGAAAGAAAAGCAATATTTGACACTTCTTTAAAAAAACACTTCTTAATTTAAGTATTTTCATATATTTGGACTAGAAACAAGACAAAATCTCCAAGTATGAAACGTCATTTTGTTGTTTATTGCAGTGTTCTTATATTTAAGACAACCTTTTCGAAGTAAAGTCAACTAATCGATGATTAAAATGAGTGTATTTACAGTTAAATTATGCATTGTGTTGTATGTTATGTCTTTGTTAAGCTGTTTTGTGAAACTGTGTGTCGTCTGATAGAGGATGATTCACATCTCAGTAGGATTTCCCTGCCGAGATGAAGCATAAATAAAGTCAACCACAGCCGCTCTGCGCTCTTTGACCAGCATCTCCTCTTTCCTCAAAGCAGTAATATAATAGTTGACATGCCGGAGCAATCTGAGGAAGTGCAGGCATTTCCATTATTCATGCCAGCCTGTAATTATTTAATGAGAGGCCTATAATTGTTGGAAATGGACAGGAACATGTCGTTTTTATTATTTCTAGCATTGTTAAATCGGGCTTTATGATGATGATCAACATGAAAAAAAAATACTACAGTAAATATATATTTTTTACATTTATTAACTGATTACTAATAATCACTAATAACTGGGTTATTTCGAGGGCGACACAGTGGTGCAGTGGGTAGCAAGATCCCCTCACAGCAAGAAGATCGCTGGTTTAAGCCTCTGCTAGGTCAGTTGGCGTTTCAGTGTGGAGTTTGCAAGTTCTCCGTGTTGTCGTGGGTTTGCTTGGGGTGCTCCGGTTTCCCCCACAGTCACTACAAGTAACTTTTATTCTGAACCTTGGACCTTATACCAATAAGAAGACCAATAGCGGCCCATATTAAAGCTAATTTAAATATTATTGTCTGTTATTTATGTATTGTCATGAATAGTATTTTATAGCTTGTGGTATTTTTCTGATTGGGAAATCCTATTGTGTGTAGATAATGCCTTCAAGACAGATTTATTTATTTAGCCTAATGCGTTTGCATTTAAGATCCAAAAGGGCTCAAAGTTGTATTTTTGTGTGAGGATTATCCGACTGGACAAAACGTGTAAGTGTCATGAACATTGCTTGAACACAGAACTTATTATTTGCAATCTTCTAAAAGCCTATAGGAAAATCCTAAAGGGATTTTATCAAGGGAACCAGTTTTATGCTAGCAACTGATTAGCCTACAAGGTGACGTCATAGTTCCTCCACTCTA